AGGCCAGATCCTGAAGATGAAACTCAAACACTTTGGCCACCTAATGAGAAGGAAGGACTCACTGGAGAAGAGCCTAATGCTGGGAAAGATTGAGGACAAAAGGGGACGACAGAGAATGAGGTAGCTGGATAAAGTCACTGAAGCAGTAGGCCTGAGCTTAAATGGACTCCAGGGGATGGTAGAGGACATGTCCATGGGGTCGCGATGGATCAGACTTCACAACTAACAACAACAAAGAATCAATACTCAGTCACTGGGCTCAGTCCTTGTCTTAAGAAAAAAAAATCATCCCATAGAGAAGAAGTGAGGTATCCTCACAATACATGCAAACAAAGTTTATTATGTACTGTAAAGAAATTTGATGTGCACTTAAGAGTTGCACAGTACAAATAGAGTACATTTTTTAAAAAAACCCAAGTGGAGCAGCACAATATGAATATTGCATATTGTCTAATTGGATCCGCATATTCCTTTATTTTTTTCATTTATATGTATGTCTCAGCCAAAATGTAGCATGAGCACTCACCCCTTTAATTCTCAGTGTTATCCTTGAAATGAAGGAGAGATACTATCCCCTAATCAACTCATTTGTTAGAATCATACCCTGACTTTCAACAAGAGCTCAGACTGATGTGCATTCCAATTTATCCATATGTTTATCCCCATTTTATATATATATACATATATATGTTTGTGTGTGTGTGTATGTGTTGTGTTATTTATCAGCACAAATACAACACACACACACACAGAAAGACAGACACAGACATATATAGCTGAGACTGACAGTGATGATCCAAAGTCTTCAGTCGAACTTCCATGACTGAGGCTGAATGTCAACCTTGGTTTCCCCATTAACAATGTTGATTTTGGAATATACAGATGTCATCATTTTTAAAAAATACATTGAACCCCCCCTTTTATATTTAAAAAAAGGTACACAAAAGCTTGCCCTCCCCTTGCTATAAACTCTCAATCTCTCACTTGGAAATGGTTTCTCCAGAAAATGTCCTCTGACAGTCTGGTTGGCTGTTCCCAAGTAGTTGGTAGCCACGATGGTGTAGTTGCCATTGTTGTAATGAGTGGGATGGTTGAAGAGCAAACAGCCATCTGTGATGTCCCCACCCTGGTAGACGTCCATGCGGATGAAGGCGGTTTGCCTAAGATACTGGCCGTTGTACAGCCAATGGATTTGGGGTGGAGGGTTCCCATGCACTGAAAACTCGATACAGTGTTCCATATGCCGAATCGGTTCCAGTAGGCTGAGGATACGGGGAGGAGCTAAAGAGTGGAATAGAGAGGCAAACAAACATTAATGGCCATCCACAAAACGTTTTTTTTTTTTNAAAAAAATAATGGGGAGTTAAAGGGCCCAATTTAGCTATCAATCGTCAGTATTTAATAACCAGGCAGTCTTCCCCATTACAGGGCAGTGAACAAGAATCTTATTGAAATTACATTAGCTGTGCTAAAATCTACCATATGCAAGAGTCATCCCCTTTAATTACCTTGTTGGCAATATAGTTCCTCTTTTTAGAAGTGGTATTTAAGTAGCTACTTATTCAAAGTATGCCATGCTAGTTAGATTGCAGAGTGGAATTTGGGGTAGGTATTTGGTCTTCCAAACCAGAAATGTGTTCATATCTCTGCTCATCCACAGAGCTTAATATAAGAGTGTTCAGTCTTGGCAACTTTAAGACCTGTGGACTTTAACTCCCAGAATTCCCCAGCCAACATGGGGAGATAGTTTCAAAATGACACTTGCTATTTGTATGAATTGGACCTTAGCCAGAAGATTATCTGCCTAGAAATTCCAAATGCATTTTTATCTACCTTAACAATTTCTTCAAGCATAAGGTTTAATGGGCTCTACATATCATTAATAGAGAAACTTCCATGAAAACAAGACATAAATAATAAATCAGGATATCAGTGGCATTGTGCTTTCCTTATATTACAAAATGTTCATCATGGAAAGTAACTAATAGGTGCTCTACATTCTCATGACAGCAGGCCAGATGGTAGCATGTCTAAATGCCTGGAAAAAAAATCAATTCTATAAGGACTTTCTTAAGATAAAAGAGGAAGGCATGACATAAATCCTTTATTTCAGAGCAACTATTTTTTGCAGTTATTCCTTCATAGAAGAGCAGAATAACAGAATAACAAAGCTGGAAGGGACCTTGGAGGTCTTCTAGTCCAACAGGAGACCCTATACTGCTCTGGACAAATGTCTGTCCAATCTCTTTTTGAAAACTCCCAGTGATGGAACACTGATAACTTCTGGAGGAAAGCTATTCCACTGATGAATTGTTCTCACTGCCAGGAAATTTCTCCCTAGTTCTAGGTTGAAAAGTTTCCATCCATTCCTTCTTGTCCTGCCCTTTATGGACATTTGAACAAAAGTTTGCTTAGTGTAGCATCCAACTTTCAACAATAGTCAACCAGATCATCTCCCAAAAGCTGACCTACTGATAACTTTCCCCCTTTATGTATCTCCCAGGATCCACTACTCGCAAGGTATTATCTGAACACAGGAGTTCCATTTAGTTACTGCGTCAAGTAGCTGTAATAGGTTTGCCTTCCATTCATTACCGAAGCCCCTTCTAAAGGTCATCTACAAGGAGACCCCTCTTCTCAGGTTACGCTGACAAATTCCATCAGTTAATCAAGTGTATGTGGCATTTCATTTTAGAAATTTAACTTTAATGTAATCCAATCAAACTCTTAATCAACTTTCTGAATCAAAGCAAAGATTCAGTTAAAATTGTCAGATCAAATCAGACACCCTGGATGTCTTTTGCTCATGCATGTATTAGCATCTGAAGGGGTTCAGTTGAAACCAGATTTGATCCAAGTAGTTTAAGTTTTCATTTTGGGGCAGCGAGATCGATTTAGACCTGGGGTGTGCTGTTTACACTGGTTTTCCAAGTGGGGGCTCTTCTCCAAAAGGTTTGGAAACCAAGAACTATTTGAAACCCTAACCGCAACTGACTCATATGTTAGTGAGGTTTGTTAGGAAAAGAAGGGACACAGGGAGTATCATCACCATTCAAGCCAAGAGGAATTTCTCTTTTCTTCTACTTGGAAAAAAGCTGAGAAAATCTCCCTCAACAAAAGAAACACCATAGTAAATTATTTACTACAAATTGCATCAAAGGCAAAATCAAATTAAATTAAAGATTCAAATTGTACTGTTCCACTTCGGTTCTTCTCCTAATGTTAGTTGTTTATTCATTCATTAACTCTATTTGCCACCTTTCTTTCAAGAGCAGAATTATTCATAGCAACCATTGTTTAGAGAGATGGGTTAAACCAAGAGACAATAACTGGTCTAGAATCAACTATGGTTTTCCCAGTTGCAATGTATGGCTGTGAAAGTTGGACCATAAGAAAGGCTGAGTGCCAAAGAATGAAGGCCTTCGAACTATGGTGCTGGAGAAGACTCCTGCGAGTCCCTTGGCCTGCAAGGCGATCAAACCGGTCAGTCCTAGAGAAGATCAAACCTGACTGTTCTTT